TAAGGATGTCACAATTCTCCAGGCAGAAATAACGGCAATCCACTATTGTGTAGAAGAAATAATAAGGCAACAAAGAACAAATCGTTCTGTGGCCATTTTCACAGACAGCCAAGCGGCGCTAAAGGCTAGTGCTGTACGGATCCGAGTTTTTAAACGGATCGGGGATCCTTTAAAAAAATCCGGATCCGGATTTATCCGTATCCGGATTTGAATATGCGATTCGGATCTGAGATTCGGATCTAAGATTCGGATCTGAGATTCGGATCTTAAAATCGCATCTAAAATCCGAATCTCAAATTCGGATCCCATACCCCAGTTATGGTAATTTCGAGGGTAATTTATAAATTATGCACTGAAAAAAAAGGATCTCTCAGTCGAAATGAATATGACTTTGACCTGTCTATCTTTTTTATCAGTGTGGGCATACAAAAGTAGTTTAATTCGCAGCACAAGATATTTAATTTTCAAACAAAACAAAAAAATACAACCAAGTATGCGGATGCGGCATGCGCATGTTATGCATGGAACGACGACTGGCAACAGTGGCAACAGTGAATACGAATACGACGATCTTGGATCCAGATCCTAAATCCGGACTTAAACCCGGATCTTAAATCGGGGTCTTAAATCCGGATCTTAAATCCGAATATTTATACCCGGATCGATCCGGTTCCGGATTGTACACTTTAAAAAATCCGGATCAGATCCGGATCTGATCCGGATTGAAAAAGGATCCGGATCTGATGTACAGCACTACTAAAGGCACTCGGCTCCGCGGAGGTCAATTCTAGACTGGTGTTGGACTGTATGCGTGCTCTGAATACTTTGGGCGGACGTAGCACTGTTACGTTGGCCTGGGTGTCAGGGCACGAGGGTCACAAGGGTAACGAAAAGGCAGATGAAAGGGCCAAGCAAGGCTCATCAATGCCATTCATAGGCCCAGAACCCTTCTGCGGCGTTACAAAGGCGGTCACGAGAATGGCCACGGAACAATGGGTGGCCAACAAATCTCTAGAATGGTGGAGAAACGCACCAGGGCAGAGACAGGCGAAAAGGTTCATTGTAGAACATTCAGCAAAATTCACGGTAGACTTGATAAGCAAGGACAGAAAGACAGTCAAAGCTGTAGTAGGTCTACTAACAGGGCACTGTAAGCTAAATAGGCATCTAAAGCTGATGGGATTGACAGACGAAGCTATGTGTAGGTTCTGCCAATCTGAAGAAGAAACCTCAGAACACATTTTATGTCGGTGTGACAGCCTAGCAAATGTGCGGTTCCCGGTAATAGGCAATGATAGGCCATTGCCAAGGAGCTACATGGAGGGTTCAGTCTCCAAGTTGCTAAACTTTGTGAAAAGGATAGGACTGGAGAATGTAATCTAAGGATCAGAAGAGGACCACAACAGATCTGAGAAGGTCGCAGTGGATCAGACCGAAAGCCACCTCTAAGAATCTAATCTAATCTAATAATAGCCGTTAACATTGTATACATATACCGGATGGTGCATCTGCCGTGGACTCTTAACTCCGCAGATTTATAAGCGCTTTTAAGTCACTAGTCCGAAAAAGTAGCAAAATAAGCGTTCGGCATTTAACGTTTTATGTAATTCTGGCTAGGTATTTTTACACAAATGAAGAAGTAAATTAAAAATAAAGGATTATACTATATCCGTATTGTAGCACATTTTTAGACAACTTCTTTGTTTTTAAGATTTTGATGGTCAATCATCAACAAAATATTCCTTATGTTTGGACTAAATTTTCTAGAAAATATAGACATAATTTAAACTTATTTACAATACCGAAATAGATTGAAGTTATTTGATTACAGTGATATATAATTTATATAATTTTGTTACAAATTGCTCGCTATTTTATTGCAAATGCTGAAGATCTGCAAAACTTAATCAAGCCTTAATCAAAGCACGTGTGTTTGTGTGACTTAACACGACAGGATCGGGCTAAGCCTCTTTCTTTTTTTAAGTAGATTTCTAAAATATCATATACCGTATGATAAAAAAAAATGGCGTCCAGTTGGCTTGGAAATGACGATCGATGACATTTCCAATATAATTTTACATATAAAACGACAGTGATCTTCATTTCATAGCCATCGCTGACGCCGTTTTTATTCGATCATACGGTATATTATTTCCTTCGGCCACACACAATACAACAAATTACTATAATAAGAAAGCTGTTTTGCTCACACGTAAACCAGCTTTTTAAATGAGCCTGATCCAATCGATATTTTTTACATTAAAAAAATGATTGAAATTTAACAGAATCAAATATTCGAAAATGTGTTTGAACGGGCTGCGTGCTTATTTCAATATTATTATTTAACTCACGATTTTTGATTGTTAAAAAAACTAAAACTTAAAACCAAAAAAATGTTCTTATTTATGTGACAACACGATGATGTACATATGCAGTGTTTAGAAGGTTTAATTTATTGTTTTAAGTGGATGTGCTCAAATATAAACTTATAAGAACAGGAAAAGGAGGTAATAATCTGATTTACAAACACTATTAAAAAATTCAGAATTATTTTTATACCTAATACAAGCAACAACAATACTTTAAACAATTTTAACAAAAATGATGCTTTTTGAAGAGATACTTCTTTATGCGCGATGGGACTAAAAATTCAAGGCCTTGACACGGCATGGCCTTGACAGACTCGAACAACCCCATCTTTTTATGAGATTTTGACAACGTTTCGTGCACTACGAAACCCCATCATCAATGAATCAAATGTCCATAGAGTAGAATTAGACCAAGGCCAACTTGACCGTGTACTACACGTTACAGTGTGACAGTTAGATTTGACATAAGAAACGTCAAAAGTTGATGTCGTCCGATAACGACCAAATTTGGTGGTTAGGCTATGTGAGCGACGACGGTGCACACATCAGTCCCATCCTGTAAAGTTGGATGCGACGTTTCGTTTACATCTTCATCAACTAAGGGTTTGATATTGAAGAAAAATGTGGGTCGATTTCGGCATAATTGGGGACGGGCTATAGAATGAGGTCCTCGACGTTTCGAACCGATGGCGATACCTCTAAATGGACGAAATTATCAGGACTTTTTTTTAATTATTAAGCTGCGTCCACATCGCTCGCGAGCAGGCCGAACGAACACTTGAAACACGAAAAATATGACAGTCGGCGCCCGCGGTGCTTCTCGTGCTTGCGATCTCATAAAATGCCTGTTTCGACTGTTCGGAGTGTTCGGCTCTGTCGCGGTACATCAAAGAGACGCTTCGGAGCCATGCAAGTATACTTTATGGCGCGGTTTGAAGCGCTCGAGCGGTTTGCGTTGTTTGTTAAAAGGCTGTACTTAAACTGCCGTTAAACGGTAGCTTACTAAAATGCCGTTAATACGTATGACGTCGTTGATGTGACGCACTTGACGGCTTTATGAAATATAGAAATTTTATTAGGACTAACCAACGCTATCCTCTCCACAAAATAACCAACGCAACTAACCTCGACACTGATAAAAAATATAAAAAACAAATATAAATTAGTAAAAATCAACCAACCCCACCAAATAACCAACTAACCAATGAATTAACACCCTCCAAATAACCACGCTAACCAACCCGCCAAATAACTAAACCAATCCAACTAAAAAGAGTGAAACCAATGCAATAAGATCACGCTATAAGCAAAAAAAAACATAAAAAAGTCTTGGTCGGCGTGAGATTTGAACCACGGACCATTCGCTTACGAAGCGATAGCCTCAGCCACTGACCCACAGGTGCTCTTGCAGAAAGCTTAAGGCTAGGCATTACTTTCCGCCGACATGAACGACGTCACAATATCTATTAATGGCATTTTAGTAGGCTACCGTTTAACGGCTGTTTAAGTACATCGTTGTTAAAATTTTAATTTGGTTTCATTCATAAGATTCGGTATTTACTGCAATACGATAATACTACCATGATTTTTCTTATTTTATTTTGTTCAGAATTACAAATATTTGTGTTTGGTCTTGGATTAATAATATTAAATATACCTTTAATAAAATATAACTCTATATTTATATTGCGTACTTATCTTAATCTGATCTTTGAGAACTTTATTTACATTTTGGCATACGCCTGGTATTATTTCTGAAATGCTTTTTTTGAAACGTTGAATAAATAACCCAAACTAGTATGTGAGTCTCTAGTTGCAAAGAATCTTATTGTTATGGCCAATCTTTATTTAACTCTTTCTTTAACCGAAATACACTTCCTAAAAGTTCTATTTTTCCTTTCTATACGGGGGCCAATTAAGTTAATAAGTCTTTCAAAATCAGTAGCGGATATGCGATAAAAAATATAAAAAAAAAACATTCTGTCTGTTTGTAAATCGAGTAGATGTTTACTTTCACTGTGCTGGGATCTACTTTTGAAATTATTAGACATCCAACACCGCCTTTTTCCTTTTTTTCTTCTTCGTTTTGCAATAATGATCGCACTAGCAGCCGCTATTAAAAATACTTCGGTATCTTCCATGTCCGAACAGCACGAACGCAAGCACTACATTACAATGTGGACACCGTCGCTTGCGAGCCGAAATATCTTGAGAAACACGACAAACAGGAAGCGCAAGCAAAGCAAGCACTATCAGAAGCAAGAGCGCGAGCAGGATCACGAGCAATGTGGACGCACCTTTATGGGTCGATTGGAACCAAACTCGGCACGTGGATAGAGGTACCCGAATGGATTCCTCAGACAGACAGATGGAAGTAAGAAGAAGTTTCACTTCAAATATGCGCAAATAGTGCACTCACAATTTTTTTGTAGGATTATTTAACGTTCCGTTAGATTTCCACCTTCCGTATCATCTCTATCCGATTTTACAGCAGCATCAATAAATAAATTGAATTAGTTTTTATTGCTGAATTGTTGCTAATAATTTTCACGTCGAGATTTCCTTTTATCGTATCATTATTATATACAGCCGGTTATAAAACACATATATACGTTCCATTTCTAGGTAAGATAAAAGCTCCGGACTAATTAGTTATATTATTTTTTTGCGGGAAAATTGAAATAATTACACAGGCGGCGTTTGGCGCTCCGAAATGAAATAGATAAGTTTTCGCAATCGGTTTTCAGTTTTAGATCGACGGGAAAATGTTGCGGTTCTGGGGTCTGGCGGCTCTGTCTATCCTTTTGGTTTTCGGTGATGGGTACATTATCAATCCGAAGATAGGAAGACCGCATAATGCTAAGGTGTCGAATAGGAATGTGACGGCAGAGTCTTCTATAATTTTATCACACGTCGTAAGTACTTATTAGCTATTTTTTTTAATTCTATACTTAAAAAGGAATAAACTATTTTATCTTAACTGAGACTGTGTGGAGGAACCTTAAAACTAAACGAGAACAAAACTTGATTTTGTTTAATTTTTCATGCTGTATTTTCTCTCTTGCATTCAATTATTTCGCATTAAAAACAGAAAATGTAAAAACCGCCAACTCTCACAAGTCAGTTCTTCCACTACAAAAAAAATTGGGATCTCATGAGATTACATATATAAAACCAAATCAGTTATTTCATTTAGTGTCTATGGAAGTCTATAATTCATTTCGCATTTTATGTTTTTAATGCGATCTTTATTTCATATTGTAGGTCATTCTTCTTTTTTCACTGGTAATATTATCTTTGAAAATAATATCAATATACAAGGTGCTACAAATTCGAGGTACGAGCATTGGTATCTCGGTAACCGTAATAGAAATTGGGGCAAAGTTGCGTTTAGGGTGTTCACCAAGATGCAATCAAAAAAGTTTTAAAAACTTCAAGGATTGCTGAGTTTTTTGAAAAAAAAAACGGATTTTTTTAAAAAGCAATTTTATTTTTTCCTGTCGTTACTTTTTAGAAAATCAAAAAAAAACTAATTGCACATTCTCATAGCCACTTTATTAGGGCTATCTGATAGTATTTTTATATTTTCAAATTAGCTGATAATTTGTGAAATACAGAGGCCAACTTAATTTTTTTAAATACTGACCTGCATTTTTTATTTCAGGTTTTGAAAGAACTCGGTCTCCTGAGTAAATTATACCGGGCGCATCTCATGAGTGGCTCACCCCTTTAACTTTTTTATTTTTCCAGATAAAAAAACGGGATTTGGTATGTTAGTATATGACATAAATTACAACTTAACAAGCATAGCTAGAGACGTGAGAAATATAAAATAAGAGACGCCCCTCGATGTGCAGTGGACAGCCATATACGTATTACTTTTTACAAATATACTCAGCCTAATCTCCAAAAAGTGAAGCCCAAACAGTGAAAGAACAATATGGAATTCTGCATAAGTCTATTTCACCCGGATATTCATTAAACTGAGCATGCCTCACCTGAAGAAGTTTCCATTGGTCGATGTTTTTAAAGGGAAGTGGTTGACTGACATTTCCCCTAACCTTCAATTTTATTTATATTTTTATTATTTATAACACATTATCATGGAGTTGGAAAAATATCAAAAAATAGTTGGAAACAATAAACTAAACAAAATCACACTTTTACGCGCACAAATAAAAAGTAATCCAAACAGAACTAAAACAACAATCAATCGGAGTTTGGCGCAATCGCAGTTCAATCCATATCCGGGTGAAATAGACTTATGCAGTTTTAATATGGAGCTGGGTTATGTTGTCTTTTTCTTACGGCACAGAAATTGCACAAGGGGTTAAATAGGGAACCCTGAGTATATTTGTAAAAAGTAATACGTATATGTGGACAGCCCGCAAATTTGCTTAGCGTAACTGCATCTCTCTTCCGCCGAATGCGTTCTCTCTCGTGTGCACGACCGGTGCTATCCCCAAGTCTCTTCCTATATTTGTCAAACTGTAGAATTGATTGAGGTATTCAATTGTTTTTGGTCACTTCCTGTTTTACCAAAAATGACAACAAATTTTGATTTTTAAATAGCACCCTCGATATTTTTTTACTTAATAAGATAGAAAATGTCACTCTGAATAGAGTGACATATCATACGTCAACTTTTGACATTTTCTCATATGGTTTATTTGAAGTTGTAACATGCGGATCGTAACGAAAATTTGACGCGAAATACCAAGTGTGTAGTACCAAATTATTCGTAAAAAATGCTTTTTCCAAATATGCTAATGAGCCACCCTCGTTCCATTTGAAAACATTGAGATATGATTAAAAATACGATTTGGGCATCTTTTAACTGGCCAGGATAAGACACAAATAACACTAGACGAACAAATCCATTTTTCCAAGGCTCCTTGACTAAAGATTAGTGTTTTTTACACAGCCATGGCACTCTAGAATGAAATTTAAAATACGATCTTTTTTAAAGCAAAAATGCCAAAAGTTGACATGTGATATGTCATTCTATTCAGAGCGACATTTTCTATCGAATACAGTAAAAAAATACCGAGGGTGCCATTTAAAAATCAAAAGTCGTAGTCATTTCCGGTGAAACAGGAAGTCACCAAAAACAATTGTATACTTTAATCAATCTTAATTTATGTCATATACTAACATACCAAATCTCGTTTTTTAATCTGACAAAATAAAAAAGTTATAGAGGTGAGCCACTTTTGAGACGCAACTTACATGATACAAATTTAACTTATTGTTAAAAATCTATAATAAAAATTTAAAATTAAGAATTTATTTGCAATTAAAGATTTTTTTTAGATTTTTAGACATGGCAATCGGACTCCAGAAATGTCAGAACGTTATCCCACCGATCCATACTTAAATTACACCTACTATCCTTATGGAATTGGTCAACTCACTAATGTAAGTACATAAATATACAGGGTGTCCCTAGCTGAGAGTCATTAGGAGGTTGTAGAGAGCTAAAATTTTTCCAGAGCTTTTTTTACACATCCATCCAAAGTAGCAAAAAGAAATTCTAAAAGGATTGAATTATTTTATAACAGTCGAATAGCGTTGTCTTAAGGACTGCTTGATTTTATTAAGCGTTTGGTTTCGACCATTCTGTTTTTAATAAAAGTTGTCTTATTAAACTATTTTCTAGTAGTTTTTACAACGTATCCTATAACGCATTAAACGATAATTTCTTTTAGTACTTATTATATAACAGTTAATAAGACAATGCTATATGATAACAAACATATTATTTTATTAGACCCTTATACCCACCATGTAAGAGTTCTATAATATTCATATAACTAGTAGTCACAAGATCATATAATAGTTACTTAAACTTGTCTTATTAAAGTTGTATTACGTTGTATGATAGAACGTTTTATTGCGTTAAACTACGGTGCTGTATACAACACAGTTATATAGCCTTATATGATAAAATTGTGATCAACAAAATAAATTCGCTGTAATATCTGCATTATAAAACTGGTAATGTACAATATAACCTCATTTTAAATTAAATGGTATACCTAGTTATTTATTTTGTTATTGTTGTTGTTGCAAAAGTAATATCTACGTACGAGTATAATCAATCACAGCTATTATGAATTCGGGACAAAGTTGGAAAAAAGTTAATAAACGCAGTGGTAGTTATAAAGAGCATGTAAGAAAAAACTCCTCGAAATTACGGCAAATAATCCCCAGAATTCCCTGGGTTCTCAAAAGCCAAAATCTCTCGGGTTATCTAGCTTCTTAAAAGCATTGTTGCCACGTTGGTGTAAAAGTTTTACTATAGTAATGTTTGTATTGTTTTATTGTTGTTTTTCCAAGTCCTTAGGTTGCCGCTCACTCGTCGGGCACGCATGAAATGCGTTGCGTGCATGAATCCATGAAAATCTGATCATGTTTGTTAGTTTACATACTAATCAAATGAGATTTGGCAACATCTATTTGTCACAAATCTCAATATGTCCAAAATAGTTCTATAGTGCCTGGAAATTCTGCGTAATGATAAATATTTATTCTATACCGTTTTATTTTACAACAAAGACTTATTTAAGGGATTCATTTATAATAAAATGGTTGCATTATAATTCGCCATGCTTAAGGCAGAACTTTTGTATGTCCTATGGCCGCCATTATATGAAGCAAAATTAAAAACATCAAAATACATTGGAAAATGTTATTTTTGAGAACTATTTTGTGATAAGATTCCCACATAACAGTAATAAAGTGTTTAATTAAATTAAAAACAAGAATTTTTGAAAATGTTATATTATTTTATTGTTTAAATTTATATGTAAATCTTAATCGAAATTAAAGCGCTTTAATTTTTTGCCAAATACATACCTATAATCTAGCAGTAAAATTTTCGGCGCAACAAAAATTGTCCCTACTTTTCAAACCCTATTAATGATTTTTTATATTACATATTTGTTGTACCTTCTGGCTCTACCCGCCATTTTCATTGTCGAGTAAAGTCTCCTTTTTAACAATCCACATCCTCTAGATTCATTTTACGACACGCTTAAAATATAATTTGCTCCTAATATTCTTCGGTAAAAAATAAAATACTCTTGTACCTCGCTAAATGATCATGTGTTTTTATTGTTCTGTTTCTTAGATGTGACCACGTAATACACAATAAAACTAGTTTTATAATAGTCATATAATGCTGTGTAAAATAGTTGCATAAGAGTTGTATACCCTTTTTATAGAACTTCTATACTACTAAACGGTTGTATAAAAATGGGCCTTTTTTGGTTGTAAAGCTCATCATATTACTGTCATATAGCACGTTATGTGAATTGAGGTATCCTATAAAAATTATCACATAGCTGTTTATACAACCTTTATAAAATAAAATTTGCTACTTGGGATGTTTCACAATCAGGTCTCTCGATTAAAGCTATTTGCAATACGACTTTAGATTCAACACCCTATATTCTAAAAATTATTTAAATTTCGTAAAACTAAAAATTGCCTGTCAAAGAAAAATTATACAGGGTGTGTCAAAAAACATGTGCCATCTCTCGTAGGGAGATTCCTCAGGTAAAAATAAGATTTATTTCTCATATCAACATAGGTCCGATTCTGCTTTCTTTCGTAGCTACAGGGTGTTAAAATCTTAATATTTTTTCGATTTATTGTAATTTTCTTACAAGTACTTTTAGCGTTTCGAATGAAATTTTGAAGGTAAAAGTTACTATAAATGTGACATATTTTAATGCTAAAAATGGGTCGACATATTCACCAGTGACGTGTATATGGGTTATCACTGGAATATTTAAAAAAAAGCATGTACGCCACTGACTTTTTTCACTTTTTTGACTTCAGCGAAAGAGTGTAAACAGTTTAAAACCGCCGATTAAAAGTTGTCTCTTGATATTTTGTCGATTTCGGCCTCCTTGATGAGATAAACGCAATTTTATTAATTTGCATTGATCCAAACATATGAAAAAAAGTTCCTATAAACGTGGGTATGGAAATGTATGGTTTTAGAGTTACAGGATGTTAAAAGTTTTTGAAATTAGGTTTTTTCTAATTATCTTAAATACCATTATTTTTTTTAATTTGAAATTGCTGTAAATTGAACTGATAGTAATAATATTGAATAATAAATTTAAAACGTAAAATATATAATTTATTAATTTTATTTTAATTTTAATTTTATTAATTGTGATTAATTTAATTGCGTTTATCTCATCAAGGCGGCCGAATTTGACAAAATATCAAGAGGTAACTTTTATTTGGCATTTCACGGCCTACACAGTTCTAATATCAAAAGAAAAAAAGTCAGTGGCGCACAAGTTTTTATTTGAAAAATATTCCAATGATAACCCATATGCACGTCCCTGAGTTTATCGACACTTTTTTAGCATTAAAATATGTAGCACTTATAGTAACTTTTACCCTCAAAATTTCACTTGAATCACTAGAAGTACTTGGATGAAAATTATAATAAATCTAAAAATTATTAACACTTTAACACCCTGTAGCTACGAAACAAAGCAGAATCGGACCTATGTTGATATGAAAAATAAATCTTGTTTTTACGTGAGGAATCTCCCCACGAGAGATGGCACATGGTTTTGAAACACCCGGTATAATTTGTTATTAAACTAAAAATATGTAATTTGTTAATAGTCTAAAATTTATTGCAGTCTGGAAAGCGAAGAGAGTATTCGATTGGATCAGCCCTAAGGGAACGATATGATAATTTCTTAGGGCAATATTACCAACCCGATATCATAGAATCGAGAAGTACGGACAGGAATAGGACCAAAATGTCTTTGTTGTTGGTACTGGCTAGTCTGTTCCCACCCAAATGCAGGATGGTATGGGATGGAGAGTTAAACTGGCAACCTATTCCCTATAATTATATACCAGGTAAACAAAAAAGTTATTAATGTATCAAGGGAATTATAAGGCTGTTAAATACCGAGGGCAAATTTTCTGTCCCGAGGGCCTAATTGCTCGAGGTTACACTTTTTAATTCCCGTAGTAGATAGATAATTTTATTTCTTACTGAATTTAGTATATTTTTTAGCATTTTAAAACGACACAAATGTTGCATTTATTAATCTTCAGGTATTTGTATTAACGCTGCTGGTAGGAACTTTATTTTTTGCCAAGTTACTATTCTATATTGACGGTTGTTATCAATCGAGTTCTGTTTTCTGTCAAAAAAATACGCCTTTTGTATGAATTCGGCACGCATTCCAGTAACTTTCCATTAAAATGGAGTTAATATTAAAAAAAAACTGAAGAAGCACGAAAAGCGTTACTTCCATCTAAAAATGAATCAATTTATCAAAAAGGAATATAAAAATTTCCTTCATTGACTGGGACAGAAAAATATTGTATGTTAAAATTATTATTCTTTTGTAAATTTATTATACGTGACATTAATGATATAGAGAGTTTACATTAATGATTAGAGTATTTAAATGAGTATCCATTTTCATTTTATATTATTACTCAAACTCTCTATTGTATTTCATGGTGATCAAAAGGCAGAGGGAATTATGGCATCTTAATTCCCGTTTATAATGTTCCAAGAGTGTTATCAGTCTACTTAGAGTTAGCATAATCAAGACGATATAAGCTTATGTTAATTCAGAAAGAAATAAAGAAATTAAAGTAGTTTCCATCCCCCCTCCCCACACACACATACCGGGTTTTATATTTCCATATATATATTATTAGGTTTCAAACGTTTTTCTACGTTGTCCGATACCCAAGTTCCAGCCTGTTCTATTGGTACAATCCTCTGTTGACAGGTTTCTTTCACTCATCGCTTTGTGTACGATTTTTTGTCATTCCAGTTTCGGTCTTCCTTGTTTTTTTTCTGCCCTTTGGTTGCCAATTGATTATTTTCTTAGGCCATTTTGTATTCTTCATTCGCTCTACCTGTCCATACCAGATCAGCTGCTTTCTCTCTATATCCCCTGTGTTACTGTGCCATCTATACCCATTTGTTGTTTTATGGTATTATTTCTTATTCGTTGTTGTCTGGAAATTCCCATTGATCTTCGAATGGCATCCGTTTCTACGGCCTCTGTCCTCTTCTTGTATTTCTCAGTTATTCTCCATGTTTCGGCTCCATATAGGAGGCTGCTCTTTATCGTGGTCTCATATATATTAAATTTTCTTCGCTTTGTTATTGATTTGCTCCATATTTGGACATTGAATAATTTCTTGACCGTTGTCCAAGTTCAAATATCCTTCTAGTACGCCTATACATAGATATTTTGTTTTGTCTATGTTAACACTGTGAAGCCCTATTCTCCGTATTGTTCAATAAGTTTTCTTATATTGCATATCACCTTTGTCATTGGCGACTATTATTTTTTGATCGTCTGCGAATTGAAGTCTGAACAAACATGCATTGTCAATCTCTATGCCCAGATTACGGATCTTTCTTTTCCAATTTTTTAAAGCGACTGCAACGTATATTTTAAAGAGAGTAGGGGAGATGCAACACAACTTTGACGTAGGCCTTTATTGGTTATAAACATTTCTTTAAACTCTTTTCCTAAATTTATTTTTGATTTTGCATCGTTATATAGTTCCTTAAGAGCTGTTATATATGTATGGTTAATGGTAGATTATTCCAGTACTCTCCATAGTCTGGATATTGGGACAGTGTCGTATGCTGTCGATAAGTCAACAAATGTTATATGTGTGTCCAAGTTTCTTGACGATCTTTTGTCTATAACTTGTTTTAAACAAAGCGCGTTATCTGTACACGACCTTCCTGCTCTAAAACCATTCTGTTCTTATTCCTCATTTTCTCTATAATCTTCTTCTATGCATCACCGAACCACTCTGTATAGCAAAAAAGCTCATAAGGTTACTTTATATCGTTTTTTAAAACATCTATAATTATTGGCCAATATTCATTCATCTTCTAGGATAAACATGTCAATCTACCTAATCATTGAACTTAATTAAAAATAACACTGTAAATTCAAAACCATAATCACGTGAATTATGGACACGCAGGTACGAGCTTTGATTATTTACTTAATTACCAATAATTTAAGAATTGCATTGTGACAGTAGCAGAAAATCGTAATTTTTATTTGCTCAAGTCAATTATAAAAGGAAAATACAGAAACTATATACATTGTCTCAGGTTTAACAAGATTTTTTTCATTTGCTAGACATTTTTAACTAGAAAAAAATATACAGAAATGTTAATGTGATAAACAGAATTATTATTTATAATTTTATCTCAGGTATTGGGGTGGGTCAAATTCGACGCTTTTAAATGGAAACACCCTTTTCTATATGAGATAGACAAAAACTAATATCGGTGTCTGGAGCTTAATTTTTGTCAAAAACATGATGGTGAAAACCGCATATCGATATCTGTTACCGTTTCCGAGTTACGGGGTGTTTTTCAAAAATATGCATTTTTAACAAATCGCTCTAACTTTTTTGCTATGGAAAATTTTGTTTTTTTATGAAAATTTAATCTAATACCTATGTTTTCATATTATCAAGAAATTATGTTTTTTACCTAAAAACTAAACAAATTTCCAAAAAAATTTTTTTCGCGAAAAAGACCTCATAGACGTGTTTCTGGGGGTGAACTATACTACCAGTTAAAATATTTGGACTTATTTCTGAGACACCCTGTATTTGAAACTGCTGCTTATTTTGTAGCTACCGCCTAACAGTTTAAAAAGGATTACTGCTCTTAAGAATTTATATTTATATAAAAATCCGACCTAGAAAAGACTTTAATCGTTTTCTATTTCAAGTCATTTTGAAAAAGATTTAAATTTTAAGTCTTAAGTCAGGTTTCGAAAAATGACTTAAAATCAAATGACTTAATGATTTAAATCAAAAAAAGACTTAAGTTTCTATGAACATGCAGCTCTGTTGAATACATCCTGTATACTGTATTTTACCCAATTCTAATAATAGAAATACAGTTTAATACTTACTCATAAATATAAGAACCACTAACCACCACATATTCAATATTTAGTGGTTTTTAATGCATTTAACTTTAATATTGTAGGTAATATATGATTAGAACTAGATATATCTAGATACTTAACTCTATAATAATTATAGTTTTTAACCAGTTTTATCAGAAAATGTATTTTTTAGTTGCATTTTCCTTAATTATAATGCGATAATTTTGTTTTTCGTTATATATTATTACAAGCAAAAATTTTCGTGAAAATTTTTCCATAAACACATATTATAAATTAAACATTATTTTTCTTATTTTTGATATAATGTTTATTGGACACTAAGAAAATATATATAATTATTTACTAATTACTAATCTACGTATGCTATAATAATTTTATAATTAATAACAAGAATATTTGTTGCTAACTGATAATATTTTTAAGGTGATAATTTGTTGCTACTGAAAATATTTTTAAGGGGAATAAAATTAACAGAATAAGTAAATAATAATAAGTCCTCTCTCTAAACTGAAGGACTCTCTTCTTTAAGTAAAAAAATACTCAGTATAATTGACAGATGGGGACTTTGGAAATAGTTATTTGTGTACCAAGGCCGTAAAGTTGATCTTTCTGGGTCTCGGCTACGCCTCGGCCGCAAATTTTAATATAGAATTTAAATACATATCATTAATACACAAATTTTATTGCCTAAAAAGCATAAATAAAAAAATGTTTCAGTTAAATCTTACTGGATGTTCAAAATAAAGTTACTTTTTTGTACATTGACAAATACTAAAACTATAATAATCGTATTTTCTATACTTTACAGAAAAAGATGACGCAGTTCTTTACGGCATCTCTTGTCCTACCTACGTCGAGCAATACGCCGAAGTACTGCAAAGCCCCGAAGTACAAGCGGATTTAAGTCAGTACGCCACTGAGTTCAATTACATAGCAGAAAATTCCGGTTTAAACATAACATCCTTCGAAGACGTTTACAACGTTTATTTTGGCCTGTCGACTGAAGAAGAATATGGACTGACACTGCCCAACTGGACAGCGAGGGTATGGCCGGATTTAATCAACGAGGTTTCTTTTAAGCAGTATGAAATATACACCAAGACTACCAACTTGACAAAAATGGCAGCAGGTATATAACTATTTTTTTTTTCTTGCTTAATACCCTCACAGATATTCGAAATGGGTCATTATAAATTATAATTTGTGCCGTTTTTGTGACATCTTTTAATCCGCTGAATATATTTTTATGATTTTTTTACTGACCACCAACCAGGGCTGCAAGTTCACAGAAAACTGAAGTCTTTTTTCGAAAGCTGACTTAAGTCTTCTTCTTCTTCTTCTTCTTCTTCTTCTTCTTCTTCTTCTTCTTCTTCTTCTTCTTCTCCTTCTCCTTCTCCTTCTCCTTCTCCTTCTCCTTCTCCTTCTCCTTCTCCTTCTCCTTCTCCTTCTCCTTCTCCTTCTCCTTCTCCTTCTCCTTCTCCTTCTCCTTCTCCTTCTCCTTCTCCTTCTCCTTCTCCTTCTCCTTCTCCTTCTCCTTCTCCTTCTCCTTCTCCTTCTCCTTCTCCTTCTCCTTCTCCTTCTCCTTCTCCTTCTCCTTCTCCTTCTCCTTCTCCTTCTCCTTCTCCTTCTCCTTCTCCTTCTCCTTCTCCTTCTCCTTCTCCTTCTCCTTCTCCTTCTCCTTCTCCTTCTCCTTCTCCTTCTCCTTCTCCTTCTCCTTCTCCTTCTCCTTCTCCTTCTCCTTCTCCTTCTCCTTCTCCTTCTCCTTCTCCTTCTCCTTCTCCCTTCCTTCTCCTTCTCCTTCTCCTTCTCCTTCTCCTTCTCCTTTCTCCTTCTCCTTCTCCTTCTCCTTCTCCTTCTCCTTCTCCTTCTCCTTCTCCTTCTCCTTCTCTCCTTCTCCTTCTCCTTCTCCTTCTCCTTCTCCTTCTCCTTCTCCTTCTCCTTCTCCTTCTCCTTCTCCTTCTCCTTCTCCTTCTCCTTCTCCTTCTCCTTCTCCTTCTCCTTCTCCTTCTCCTTCTCCTTCTCCTTCTCCTTCTCCTTCTCCTTCTCCTTCTCCTTCTCCTTCTCCTTCTCCTTCTCCTTCTCCTTCTCCTTCTCCTTCTCCTTCTCCTTCTCCTTCAACCTTCTCCTTCTCCGCAACCCAAGTACTTACATCTTCTTACTCTTTTTATAGTTTGATCTTCTACTTGTATCCTGATATTTTCAATATTTAGTTTGCTGATAATCATAACTTTTGTTTTGTTTATGTTTATTTAAGACCATGACTCTGACTAATATTGCTAACTCTGTCGACCAGGCACTGCAAATTTTTCTCATTGCTAGCTAGGAGCACCTTATCGTCAGCATATCGGATGTTATTAATAGGTTTACCATTCACCTTTATTCCCACTTCTAAATCTTCCAACGCCTCCTGGAATATCGATTCAGAGTATAAATTAAACAGAAGTGGCGATAATATACATCCTTGTCTGACGCCTTTAAGAATTTCTATATCGGTTGTTGACATATTTCCGATTTTTATATAAGCTGACAAGCTGACTGATTCCAATATAAGTTTCTAATGATTCTGATGTCTTTGCCATTTAACCCAATCCGCTTTAGTAAATGTATCAGCTTATCGTGTTTCACGTTATCAAATGCCTTCTCATAATCTATGAAACATGTGAAGGCACTTGTCTGCTGATCGAGGCATTTTTGGACTAAAACCTGTATCGAGAACAAAGCATCTCTGGTTCCCAGTCCACTTCTAAAAAATTATTACTTACTTATTAAAAAATCGGTTAAATTTAAAAAAAACATATTTTTGTAGTTGTAGTTGTTTTATCAGTTTTGCATTTTTTTAATTTCTTCTTCATTATTAATATATTTAGAACTTCTAACAATTAATTTCAAATTTTCAGGTTATTTCATTGAGAAAATCTTAAAAGATACACAAAAGAAAATTGAAAACAGCACTGAAACGAAGATTTATCTATATTCTGCACACGAAAACAACTTGGGACAACTTTTCCAAGCTTTAAACCTATTTGAGTACCCGCACATACCAACCTATGGATCTTACGCATTATTTGAAGTTCATTGGATAAATAATACTTATGGATTTAAAGTAAGAATATTATTCTTGAATTTATAATTTTGAATATTATCTCTTATTTAAATGTTTCTAAAGGGTATAGCCGGGTTAGTATGGGAAATCTGTCCCGCACTGAAAAAAAGGATCTCTCAGTCGAAATAAATATGACTTTGACCCAAAAGATTGGCACTTTTCAATAGGGCCAAGAACGACGTTTCTTTGCCCAAAGCATTAACTATCTTTTCATAAGCTTTAAAAAATTACTTTAGAGAATTGAAGAATCTATCTGTCCAAATAAGTATTTCACTCTTGACCCAAAATTAATATGCAAAGAAGTTCTTGCTACAAGAACAATAGTCTCTTTGATTCATGCAAAAATTCTTGATTGAAAAGGGACATTTCTTGATTAAAAAGACACTTTTCTTAAACCAATAGCGAATACCATTGACTCAACTAAAATTTATTTTGATCTAAGAGAAGTCAATACATCATATACAGGCATATTACGTATATGTTATTTTCTGATAAATTTAAGTTTTCCTAGTTTGTAGTAAGTAAAGTGATATTATTTTCCTCGATAGTAGATTTTTTTTTTTTAGAATTTAGAATGAGTGGGAGGGGGGTTAATCACTTCGACCTTACAGATCCATTGTGTCACCCTTTCTTGAATCATAACTCATCATACAGTCCGAGGGCTTTGACAAAAGCCAGTATCTGGGACGGTTTTATAGAGGGTAGTTCTCCATCTCCAATATCAGTCGTACCAAAATTCATGGCACGAATGGTTGTCTTCTCGGCGCACTCAGTGATGAGGTGTACTGGTGTTTCCCCATCTTCCCCACAGAATCTGCATTCGCCGTTTCTTCTTAGTTTCAATCTACTGAGGTGTTCGTTGAGGAGACAGTGTCCTGTTAAAAACCCCGTGACAATCCGAAGATTGTTCTTACTCAGACCCAGGAAGATCTGTGATTTTTCTTCATCATAAGCCCTCAGAAACTTCTTCGAGTGTCTTAGACCATTGGAAAATTTCCATTCCAGGTTGCGGATGGAATCTTCCAAGTTCTTGAGTTCCGCCTTGAGTTGGTTACCACTTGGAAAGCAGAACGGTTCTGGTTCAGTTAGTGGAGTGTTCGCTGCTTTCCTAGCTAGATTATTTGCTTTTTCATTGCCTTCTATCCCTTGGTGAGCAGGCACCCAGTGTAGGAGGACTTTGTTTTCTTTGGCTAATTTATTCAGCTTCTCTATGCATTCTTTGACCAATTTCGAATTGATTGATACTGAGTTGATCGCCTTTAACGCTGCTTGACTATCAGATAATAGTAGATAGTTATTTCTGCTTCTTCACTCCTTGGTATTTTTTTGGGTGGTTCATCACTCTACAAATTACAAAAAAATGTTACATCACGATTTGTAATTATTTGCATAAAAAAATCGATACCTATATTCTTATTCTATCTATGCATTATCTATACAGATGCATTAGGTAAATGTCTCTTACCTTCAGATATAGCAAATAAATGCTCTAATTTCCATTTTTTCAGAAACTCCTTTAAAGAATCCATATATCCTAAAATTTGTCCATAAAAAATGTCAAATGCATGTTAATAACGATCACTAATTTGTTATACGATATGCGTTTAAAAAGCAAATTATGCAAAATTCCAAGTGGAAAATTCCAAGCAACAAAACCCGTGCACACTATGATGTGTATGAAATGCGACGTGAGACTGATCGAACTGCCGACTGATTGTATATACCGTCCATCGTCATCGTCTTTGCGTGTCGTTATTATTTTTCATCAAAAGAGTATTTAGCTATTGGAAAAATGGCCATGTTTCTTGAATGAAGTACTTCCTAGAGTATTTTTGTTATTATCTTAAAACAATAAAGCTTCCCCTAGGAGATGCACTTCCCCTAGGAGATGCTTCCCCTAGGAGATGCAAGACCTTGTCGTTGGTGGGGAAGCTCTTGGTCAGGTGCTGGGGGGAATCCCCTCTAGCACTTGGCTTGGTCTAAGAAGCATCTCACTCATCGTCTTGTCCCTGACTGTAGTGTCGTGGCCAGGGAATTGCACCAAGACATATAACGATACCGGGCGGGGCTACGGACAGCCTCAACCTTGGGGCACCGGGGGGCACCCCATTGTATTTTACCCCTTACTTCTACATGCGGGGCTCTGTAGAAGTGGACCGACTGTCCCTAGCGACTCATAGGAACACTATGAGATCTGGTAATAATAGTAATAAAAACATCACCGGTGAAGCTGTGGGGAAACCCCCTAGCGACACTGGGAACAGTAACAATGAAAGTTCCAAGGGGCCAAACCCAAAGAGAACTACAGGAGAGGTGGCTGACACTTGCGTGAGACCATCCTCCGCAAGTGGCATACAAGCTACCACCTCCTCCAAGGGTCGGGAGCCTACCTCCTACCTCTAAACCCAACAGGCGACACAAGCTACCGTTTCGTCTACCCGGCCTGGGTCGTAGCTCCTCGACTGTGATGGACACGGGTCTCCGTAGGAAGTCCTGGGACTGTATGATGAGTTATAACTCAAGAAAGGGGGACACAATAGATCTCTAAAGTCGCAGAGATTAACCCCCCTCCCACTTATTCTAAAACAAAGTAACTTGCACTTGGTTGAATGAAAATAGATTCAAGAGAAATTTTCGAATTTTTCAAGAGAACAAGTTTTCTTGAGTTAAGAGAGTTTTTCTTCAGGCAAAATATTTACTTTTACGCTAAAATAAATTCTCTTGCCACTAAATTTTTTTTTCAAGAACGATGACGACTTTGGTTCAAGTCTATCTTTTTTATCAGTGCGCGACTTTTCTGACTCGCACTCAGGGGATCGATTTGATGTCGAATCAAAATAATTCACCTAAATTTTTAGCTCTTTAACTCAAACGGTTTTCGAGATTTTCAAAAAAAAACTGTTTTTTCAATTTATTTTTATTTTTATAGTAAAATTCAAAATTAATTAATGATTTTTTTTCTAATTCTTAGTCTGAGACATGAAAAAGTTATATGATCATCAACTTCCCCTAGGAGATGCAAGACCTTGTCGTTGGTGGGGAAGCTCCTGGTCAGGTGCTGGGGGGAATCCCCCCTACCACTTGGCTTGGTCTAAGAAGCATCTCACTCACCGTCTTGTCCCTGACTGTAGTGTCGTGGCCAGGGAATTGCACCAAGACATATAACGGTACCGGGCGGGGCTACGGACAGCCTCAACCTTGGGGCATCGGGGGGCACCCCATTGTATTTTACCCCTTACTTCTACATGCGGGGCTCTGTAGAAGTGGACCGACTGTCCCTAGCGACTCATGGGAACACTATGAAATCTGGTAATAATAGTAATAAAAACATCAGCGGTGAAGCTGTGGGGAAACCCCCTAGCAACACTGGGAACAGTAACAATGAAAGTTCCAAGGGGCCAAACCCAAAGAGAACTACAGGAGAAGTGGCTGACACTTGCGTGAGACCATCCTCCGCAAGTGGCATACAAGTTACCACCTCCTCCAAGGGTCGGGAGCCTACCTCCTACCTCTAAACCCAACAGGCGACACAAGCTACCGTTTCGTCTACCCGGCCTGGGTCGTAGCTCCTCGACTGTGAAGGACACGGGTCTCCGTAGGAAGTCCTGGGACTGTATGATGAGTTATAACTCAAGAAAGGGGGACACAATAGATCTCTAAGGTCGCAGAGATTAACCCCCCTCCCACTTATTCTAAATTCTAATTCTATATGATCATGATTCGGCTTTTCGTTTAAGAATCATGATCATATAATTTTTTCTCTTGTCTTGATTTCTAGGAATTAAAAAAAATTATCAGTAATTCATTTTGAATTTTACGATAAAAATAAAAATAAAATTGAAAAAACATTTTTTTTTAAATCTCGAAAACCGTTTGAGTTAAAGAGCTAAAAATTTAGGTGAATTTTTTGATTCGACACCAAATCGATTCCTTGAGTTCGAGCAAAGATAATTCTACTACGATACCTATAATATTCTTTGGTGCGAGTCAAAAAAACCGCGGGGGCAGATTTCCCATATTAATCCGGCTATACCGTTTCTTGTTCATTTCATTCTATTCAGAGTGTCATTTTCAATCGAATAAAGTAAAAAAAAACCGAGGGTGTGGTTTGGTTTGGTCACCCAACAACTGAATACGTCAATCATTCCTAATTTATGTCATATACTAACAACCAAATCTCGAGCTTTTATCTGAAAAAATAAAAAAAAAGTTATATGAGTGAGCCACTTTTGAGAGTCACCACATTGATATTACGAATAATTCAAGCGTTTTAGTTATACATTTAGACATTATAAATTCCTATTAAATAAACTATTTAAGTAAATTTATCTACACAGTAATCAATTAAACCTGGTAGGAAATTACATATTTCCTATTTCACAACATTTTGACTGAGAAATATAGTATGAAATACGTGAAAATTATAAAAACTCTTAATAATTACTTCATTAATAGTAAAATCAGAGATTATATTTATTTTTATTATAAATCAGGGATTAATATTATATTTTAGTAATAATACATTATTTTAATTGCATTATTAGTACCATAAACTACCTGTGTTAACTGAAGTGATTCAAGGATTATCACATCTTTTTTAATACCAGCTGGTTATCTTCTTATATATCTTTTTTTTTCTAAAAAATAATTATATCACTAATAATTTTCCATACCTAGTATGTACACACAATCAAAGAGATATAGAGTATATAAAAATTCGCCCGCTTTAAATAAGTATAGGCTTTGAACGGCACCGGCTGTAATGCAACAAAATTCTAGCTGTGAGCATCAATTAAAGCGAAAATAACATTTGCTATGAGAGATGCAGAATTTTATAACAATTTAAAATATATTTAACCAACATCAACACATTTAAACTATATCTAATAACAATAAAAATAAATAGCAAACCAAGACATGAGATTTTACTACAGGTGTTCGACATATCGACCGTCTTCTTTTATGGACAGACGGGGCAGTTTTTGAACATTTCTCGCGGA